TTTTTTTTTTTTTTTTTTTTTTTTTTTTTTGTGATGCTCTTTAATTCTTTTGGGAAGATACCAAAAAGAGGTATAGCTGGGTCAAGTGGAACCTCTGGTTTCAATTTTTTGAGAAATCTCCACACTGATTTCTGCAAGAGTTGCACCAGTCTACACTCTCACCTGCAGTGGAAAAGGGTTCCTTTTTCCCCACAGCCCCTCCAGCATTTGTTATTGGTTGATTTCTTTCTTTGTTTTATTTGGGGTTTTTTTTGGTACGGCAATTGAACTTGGGACTTTGTTCTTGCGAGGCAGGTACCACTGAGCGAAATCCCTGGTCCTCAGTTTCTTGGTAGAAGCCATTCTTCCTGGAGTGAGATGGAATCTCAGCATTGCTTTAATCTGCATTTCACACATGACCAGTGATGTTGAACATTTTGTCATATATTTTTTGCTGTTTCTAATTCGTCACCTGAGAAGTGTATTGAAGTAATGAGTGTAACTTTTTGAAAATGTGGACTCTCGTATCCCATGTTGTTGCTGGGCCTCATCTTCTGGCAGTCCACTTGTGAGAATAAGGGATATAGTTAGGGCCATCAGCATATCACTGCAGCATGTACAGTGACAGGGATATGAAACGGTGTCCTCAAGTGTCTGCTTTCAGACAGTGTCGTAGTGACTTGATAGTTAATAGAATAAAAACTTAACCTTTCCCCTTCACAATGGTCAACCATCTTTGTTTGTTTGATTTTTGTTTTGTTTTTGTTTGTTTTGAGACAGGGTCTCACTATGTAGTTGAGACTGACCTGGAACTCACTATGTAGTCCAGGCTGGTCTCGAACTCACAGTGATCCTCCTGCCTCAGCCTCCCAAGTGCTGGGATTACAGGCGTGTGCTACCACACCCGGCCTGGTCAACCATCTTTGTCTTCTTCAACAAAGCATAATTGTCCTGTGTGGCTGCCCCCTACTTCTCTGCATTGTGCTTGTTTTATCTGCTGTCAGGTCATCTGTTCCTGGGCCAGGTGTTAAAGTGGTGTTCCTGTGTGCTGCAGAGCCCCACGCATGTGCACTTTGGCCTGTTTGCTCCATCGCATCCTGGCTTCTCCAGACTGTCCTTGTGTCTGTGGGAAGTGGCTGTGTGGGTCCAGTTCTGAAGGCCCATGGAACTCAGAAGAGGTGTCTCTCTCTGGCTCTGTCAGGTCCCCCTGACATCAAAGGCAGGTCCTCCATCTTCAAAGTCCATCTGCGTCCACTCAAGTTGGCTGAAAGCCTCAGTAAGGACACCCTGGCACGGAAGCTGGCAGCTCTTACCTCAGGCTTCACTGGTGAGTGTTTCGCTGTGCTATTCAGCTTGGGCGGAACTGAGGCATCCTGTCACTAGTAACTGGCAGGTGCCTGTTGTGCCTGCCCAGTGCTTACCCAGTTCCTGTAACTTTGAACCTGTTGGGATATTTCAGTGGCCTCCGAGATCTTAGCTCCAAAGCCTATTGTAGCATTTGAATTAATATTTTATTTATTTGTTCTTTGAATGAGTATTTTAGTTCTTTTTTGGCTTAATAAGTTTTTATTGCACAGGACTAAAGTCATGTCCAAGGAAGATGCTTGAGGTGAGTCATGTTATACTTTGGTCTTGGACTTGTGCTCCAAATTGGGGCAGTTCCTTTCCTTTTTGCTGTTTTTTTTTTTTTTTTTATTAAAACCATTTCCTATGCTCAGGTACTTGTTTTGCTACCAGAGTGGGTAGGGACCTTCAAAGGGGCTTCCTGCCCTGTTTACCCCGTTTTAGCCTCCCTTGTAAGGCTATGCCTCTCAGTTTTTGTAGCTCAGAGGACCTCAACCCACAGTCACTTGTTTCTGCCATTCTGGAGTGTGGGCCAGAGCCTCTTCCCAACCACCTGTGGCCTCCTGCCCTGCGCTAGGTCAAGTGTTCACACTCAGGTGTGCATCTTCTGTGGCAGATGGTGAGTGAGGCATTGTCACCAGACTAGCAGGTGAAGAGTCATGGCTGTCATGCTTGGAATGTGTTTTGTTCCCCTTGTTTTCTTCCCTTGCAGTTTCAGGTGTCCATTTGCATGCCAAAACACTGGAATAAGTTAACAGGTTTATTTTTCTGGCCCCTCGGTGGGGATTTCCAGTGGGCACACACGGGGAAGTGACTGGACTGCCTCTCAGGAGGGACAATTCACCACTGCACCCCAGGGGAAGAGCCAGCACTGTGCCTGGGGATGCTGCTTCAGTAGAGTACTTTTCACCCTCAGGCTTATCTTGTGGGCTTTGCTGTGCCTAAGGGATGGCAGGCAACTTCCGTGTCCCTGCCCTCTGACACTCAGAGGACACACGGAATTCACACAGTGTAAGAACTATTGGCAAAAGCCACTGATATCACCACCAGTTGAGCTCCAGTGGTGGTTCTGTGGTTAAGACCTTGCACTTGCCTCTCTCCTCTCATCATATGCCCTGGGAGAGGACACTAGTCATTTTAATCCTGGGCATTCTCTTGGCAACCTGATAGTTAAAATTTTGTTTTTTTTTTTTTTTTTTTTTTTTTTTTTTT